TCGGATTTTCAACACCAATGTCAAATCAGTTCTCCTGTATGGGCCAGAAACTTGGTGTATCACGAAAAGCACTTCCGACGGGTTGTAGAGTTTTATCGACAACTGCCTTCGCTGACTCCATATTGAATATCAAATGGTCAGCCAGCCAGAAAGATTTAGCAACACCAAACTCTGGCTGAGAGAAAACCAACCAAAAGGCGATTGCTCAACAGATATGTAGGAGAGAAAGGAGATCGATTGAGCATATGTTGGGGAGGATGCTGAATGACATCGCGTGTCAGGTCATCGCTTGAGTGAAATCCCAATCGAAAGCGACAGGTGAGTCGTCCGAGGGTGACACGAAGGTGATAGTGTAGGGAGGAGGAGATGACAAATCATGGGCAATCGTGTGGCTAGCCAGCTGAAGAGGAGAGCAGAAAATAGAACAAAGTGGAGATGTATTGTTGAAGACCTATGTTCCACTCGGAACCCAAGGGAACAATAATAAAATAGCAATAATTATCGAAGTAACTTGAACTAAAATGAATAAAGTGTAAATAGAGAAATAAATAAAGTTTGATATTTCTCTAGATGTTTCTTGAGAACTAGAGACCCATTGGATGTAGTTGGTTGAAAATTTATCTGCCCAAGTTTTATACTTACATCAAATGAAAACAAACTGCATTGTTCTATTTCGCAACATGCAAAGTGGTGATGTGTATTGAGGTTGACTATCAGATGGTTGAAGGCAGTCGACAGGAAGCCTTGGACTTAGGTTTTGTGATATTTGGCACTCCCTAATCAGCAAGGCGTATTTGCAACCTCAAACCAACTCAAATGCCTTCCGAGATTCGAACCCGCGTCACCCAGTGCTACCTGCAGTCAGAGACGTTACCCCTAGAGCATTCAGGATCGCGATTGACTTCCCGTAGGATTGTATTGGATATTTTTGATTGGACACTAGTCAGTAACTAGTGTAATGTGTCTGTCTCGCCCTATCTTTGGTGCAGACTGAGTTTGATCAATCAGGTTTGCAATGTGGCCGTCATACTAGGTGGCTCTCCATCACGGTGCAGTGTGAATTGTTGGCATTATTAGACAACTGAAATAGTGTCGCCATAGATTGCAAATTGGAGAGAATAAAAGAGCCAAATATCATAGGTTTCGTGATTAACATTATCTCAGTCACATAGGCCGCGGCCGGCTGAAATAGGGTATCGCTGAGTTTCTGCAATTGGCATTGTGAGCATATAATTGTTTCCGATAACTTCTAGTCCTCTACCTGATGAGATGCAAGGCGTTGAGAGTTGAGAATGAAGGATGTGTTGAGAGTCAGACAATATGGATTTAGACCATTTCTCATATGAGTTTAGGTGTCTGTCGACTACAGTACTAACAAGCTGACTTAGTGGCACACCACTTACCACACTGATAAGCTTTAATGCCCTTCTCAGTATGCCATCATACTCCGTTTTGAGTAGCTCAGCAAAGACTGAGTTGTAGCAGTAAAGTGCAAAAGATAAGATGGAAGACATAACCGACTGTAAAAGTAAGAATTCCCTGATACCTACCTGACTGCCTTAATTTCTTCATGACGTAGGTTAGACGAAACATAGTTCTCAGAAATCAAGAAGATATGGATTGATTAAGAAAGGTTGGAGGATAGAACTACTCCAAGCAACTTTATGCTTCACTGAGTTCCTATTTCAGTGCTCTCTGTGCTACGTGCATCTTGTGAACGGTCCAGTTCTTGCTGACCACGTTTATGCCTAAAGGTGAAGTTCATTGGTAGACAATTTGTGGGATTTAAGGTAAGACTATTTAACTCCTACCACTATTTGATATCCTACAAAAGGCTACTCAGTTTAGAACAGTCAAATCATCAGTGTATGCAACGAAGTCGATTTCTCTCGAAATAGGTAAGTCATATAAGCAGAAAGAAAAAAGAAAAGATGAGAGGACAGCACTCTGAGGGACCTCGACTTCAGTGAGTAAGGCAGTAGAAAGCTTTCTGTTCAAATGAATGGGAATGCAACCTGTTAACAGCCTACGACTAGGGTCGTTGTCATGGGAAGTTTATTTAACAAAAGACATCCGGGTACCGAGTGAAAAGAAGAAGTATAATCAAGGAAGTTATATCGGACATATTTAGTTCTTTCGTCAGAGTAGGAAACAGTATTTTGTTGGAAGATAGCAACGGCGTCTAAGGCACATCTGTCCTGTTTATAAGCGAATTGTTTGGGATCATTAAACTTTTCAATGAATGCATCTTTCTTACTTATGCCGAGGGAGATGTCTAAAAGTAATGCAGTTTCATGTGCATCTGTTGTCCGGCAGTAGAACGCTCGTCAATCACGCATATGGTCCGCGGTTTAATCCTCGGCTGACGCACTCCTAGATCTGGCTTAGCCTGTAGAAAAGCAGGTAAAGGGAGAAGGTTGGGCGTGAGACTAGGAACCTCACTACTGCGCGAAAATAAAATTAATGCTACTGGAACTTCAGAGCTCAATCTTGAGTCCCTTGTGTTCCACTAGGAACATAATGATGATATTGCACGTCGTATCTTTAAAGGGGATTTCAGGTGAATCGCCACCTGTGTTAAACAAAATAGGGTGCACTTGATCAGTATGGGAGAAGCAAAAGCGCTTACAGTGTTGAATTCTTGGAATTGGCAGGAATATCTTATCCTCGTTGGAAGACTATTCAATAACTGGTAAAAAACTTCTACCAGTGGACGCGACCCCAGCAGTGAAAGGGATCTGTGGATTAAATTATTAATTTGTATCAGTGGAACAGCGACAACAACAGACAACAATCAGCCAGCATAAATAGGAGAAATCTAAAAGAAGCAACCTCCTTCACCTCACTAACTACCTACCTAACTGGAAGCATCCTTTCAACTACAGGCGGACGGAACTGATGAGGATACCATAACAGTGATATTCAGGAAAGTAAGGCAAGCTCTCACAAGTCTCTGTGGAGATCGATGACACAGCATGAAAATGAAAGTAAGATGAGGATTTTAAACTCCATTCATTCAGTGCTACTATACGGATCAGAGATTTGTTCAGTGTCTTCACTCAATACTAGTCAACATCAGATGGCCAGCCAGAAGAGATCAGCAACAGGGATATCTGGCAATGAACGAACAAACCCAGCAGGAACCGATTGTGCAAAAAAATATGCAGAAAGAAATGGATATTGATTGGCCATACTCTGAGGAAATAAATCATAAAGTGAGCGATATCACACGCCAGGCCATCACTTGAGTGGAACACGAATGGGCAGCGATAAGAGGTCAATAGAGGAATTCATGTGAAGAGGAGATGTAAGCATGTGGCAGACATGGAACAAGGTGACAACGTTGGAGGAGAACCGAACGCAATTGAGACGTTTGGCTTAAGCCCAATGTTCCTTTAGGATCTAAAGGATGTCTGTATTTCTATATAATGCACTAACTCAATATTCTTTCATTAACTAGAATTTTAATTCTGATATTTCGTACTGTTATCGAGCTCATTAATAAGTCACACAAAAATGTGTCTGAGAATGTTTCACTTTGCATAGTATATTCTCATTGGCTAATTCATATCAACTTCATGAAGAAGAATAACGAGAGCATTCTACAAAGCCTACAACTAGATCGCATTCAGACATGTACACGAAAACACATAACAAGACGTATATATAAATACGCTTTAAAACAATCTTCACATCATACTAGCGTAGACTGAACATCATGTCAATTATCTATTTGTTCAGCTTTATATTACTCACATTTTCTTATTCCACTGTGAATTCATTAGTCCCGAAACCGACTGAATACACGAAGGATGGAAATACCTGCCGCCTGAAAGAAGATTTACCAATTGAACATGAATATTCATATTGTTTGATACTTAACGGTGCAGTGGAAGAGTTCAGCAAACGTCTTAAAGCGAAAATATCACAACACCTGCATAATAAAGAAACTTCCTGCAGGATTGACAAACTGACGATTACCATCACTGATGAATGTGATGAATCAGGTGGTTATTTGTGGCCAAGTGAGAAGATGAACGAATCATGTAGGTTCAGTTCACATTTTTCACAACATTCACACATAACTAACTCACTAATGAAGACACAGTTATCATATCGGATGCGAAGATTGAAATCAAATCTCCTGAAATATGGGGAACATTACATGCACTACAGACTGTCTTACAATTGGCGCACAGAAATGAATTAGAGACTGTGAGTCAATGAACTCATGATTATTCATGTATTGTCAATCTATTTTATCTAGTTAGTAATAAACGAAACTACAATCGAAGATTCACCCCGGTTCACTCACAGAGGATTTGTAGTTAACACTGCTGCTCATTTCATCAGTGTTGAAGTGATGGAGAATTTTCTTGTAAGTCTGCCTTCCATATTGTCTTTCTCATTTAACTTGACAATCACTCAGGATGCTATGGCCTTCGTTAAAATGAACGTATTTCATTGGCACATCACAGATGATAGTTCATTCCCGTACGAATCATCCACGTATCCTCAACTCTCGAAAATGGTATTTTCTTTTGTTGCATTTCACCTCATCATTATTCGTTCTACATAGGGTGCTTATCATCCAGTATTGTTAGTCTATGGAGAAGCGTATGTTGAGCATTTACTGAATTATGCTCGTTTACGTGGAATACGTGTGCTGGTGGAATTCGATACTCCGAGTAAGTGAACAACATGCCATTCTGTGTTGTGTCATGTCATCTACCATCTTTGAAATTCTATCCTCATATTCAGTGATCCATGTTATCAGCAACCTCTTGATTCTTCATTAGTCTCTGAATGAGAAAAAGTTTTATTCATTCTTTCGAATAAGGGGGTTTAATGCTTTATTATGCAATAGATATTACATCTCTAAAGGTCCTTCAATTTATACATTTTTCAGTTATGTAATCTGGAATTACAAGTGCTGTGTAAAAATGTTTGACTCATCATCTGGCCTTTGCCAATAATTTTCAGTTAGACAGAAAATTTGAATGCGAGATAAAATCGACTCATTCTCTGTATTGTTGATTTTAGGTCATACAGAATCATGGGAGAGGGGTCATCCTGGATTACGAACACAGTGTTATACTGAAGGTATACCAAATGGAAGAACTGGTCCATTTGATCCTACAAATAAGACCACAATGGAATTTCTGACATTGTTTTTCAATGAAACCACTTCAAGATTTCCAGAGAGATTTATTCACCTGGGTGGTGATGATGTCTCCTTTGAATGTTGGTGAGTTTTCTGATCGTCTATCCATGAATGAATGTTGATCATACCATAAGTTTATGGGTATGCTGCGAAGGAACCATTCAGATATTAATAGTTTTCTGGAGTATTGAAATACGTACTGTCGTGCAATGGTTCAGTGGATGAGTAGGAGACACATCTTGGAAGGGTGACCACATTGCAAACTTGACTAATAGATTTCAGTCTGCACCAAAGATCGGACTAGACACACACACATAACACTAGTTAATGACTAGTGTCCAAACAAAAATATCCAATACAGTCTAACAGGAGGTCAATTGTGGTCCCGAATAGCTCAGTGTTGACATCTTTTTCTACAGGTAGCTCTGTGTGATTCGTGTTCGAATCTCAGAAGGGACAAGAGTTTCTTCAAGATTGCTGACTTGTTTATTTATTTTTATTTTGATTTACAGCTTGATTCCACACCGTATTTCCAGTACAAGTGTGGACTTTTCAGCATGGATATCGGTAGCCCAGATTCAGGCCGACCATAGATATCGAGTATGCGCCGGCAGGGGATCGAACCCCGGACCATGTGCATGGTCGGCGAGAGTCCTAACCACTGTGCCATCGACGCCAAATAGCTCGAAACCTAGGTCCAAGGCTTCCTGTGAGCGACAACCTTCAGTCACCAAATGTCATCAAATCAGTATGCACCGTGATGGTGAGCTACATTGAATGGTGGCCAAATTGAAAACCTGACTCATCGAATTCACTCAGCGCCAAAGAAGGGAAGAGACATATCACACGAGTAAGAAGTGTCCGCTCAAAGTTTGTCAGTAACTTAGAAATCCATACTGTCTCCTCAAATTGCCAACTAAATGGCATTCACCGACTCTCGGTATTGATTGACAACCCCTGGTGTTGTTCAATCTCAATGTCTCAATACTTTTTAGATATAGTCCAATACACTGGAAGTTCATATTCATTCTTGTGAATTACTGAAAAATCTCACCTCTTTATTTCCTTATTATGAATTGCGAAATGTGAGCATATTGGTAATCTTCAAAGTTGTTTAGCAGAATGCCTTTCAGACACCACATGATACCTGTTAGTGCAGTATCAATCTTCACTGGTATTTTTATCAGTCTGCTTGATTTTATCCTTTGTGATGTCTAAAATAGACGACACACATCTAAGCGTTGTAGTCAACTAATTTGAATTATATCACTCATATATCGATGACACATATTGTAAAAGTGTAGAGAAGACGAAATTTGTTCGTTGTATTTTCACAAGCTTTTTCCACTCCATTCACCTCACTGTAATTAATCAACTCATGGAAAGACAAGCAAAATGTAGTTGACGGAACAAATATGAGAAAATCTACCTCTAGGAAACTTATTTACAATTGACAACCTAATGACTCATAAATCTGACTACCTTTTGGCTGAGAACATTATGCGATTTATATTTTCTAAGATATTTGAAACGCTTTCCGCTTAATCAGGGAATCAAATCCTGGGATTTTGGAATTCATGAAGACAAAGGTTTTCGGTGAAGACTTTGGAAAACTCGAATCATATTATTTTGATCAACTTACTGCAGCTATTCAATCTGTTCAACAAAAGCGGGACCCTATCACACCAGTTGTTTGGGAGGATGCATTCCTGAACGGCTGTCGTGTAGGTGTATCATTTTATTTTTTTGGAATATTATCTCTTTGTGGCTTTTGATAAATACTTTTGCGTTCCTTTTTGACTAACTAGTCTTCGTAGATTGTTCATCATATATGTTAAGTAATTAGCAATGCGAATAGTCCAAATTATATTGCGTTTCAGATAACCAAGTCTCTATCCGGGAAAAGATCAACGCAAGTGAAACTTATAAAAGACAGCCAAGGGAACATAATTATTAAGGAAGAAAGACAGATTTAACAATGAGCGGACCACTTCAAAGGACTCTTGAACCGACCACCACCTGAAACTGGTCATGAAATACCAACAACAGCACGTACACAACTGCCACTTGACACCAGTCCTCCAACGAAAGCTGAATTCTCGAATGCAATCAAGCTTCTGAAAGCTGCGAAGGCAGCTGGACCAGATGAAATATCCCCGGAGGCACTGAAAGCGGACCCAGAGACGACAGCAGATATGCTGATTCCATTATTGCAAAAAGTCTGGAAGGTGTGAAAGGTACCTACTGACTGGAGAAAAGGTTACCTCGTGAAACTACCAAAGAAGGGCGACCTAGGACTCTGCAAGAACTGGCGAGGAATCATGCTCCTGTCGACGCCAAGTAAAATCCTGAGTCGCATCATCCTGGAGAGAATCAAGGACGCGCTGGATACAGAACTCCGACCAGAACAAGCTTGATTCAGGAAAAGCGAATCATGTTCTGACTAAATTGCAATTCTTCGCATCATCACCGAACAAAGCATGGAATGGCAATGAAACCTCTACCTCAACTTTATAGACTTTGAGAAGGCCTTCGACAGCGTTGACCGCGAAGTAATTTGAAAACTACTCAAGTACTACGGCGTACCCTAAATATTCATCAACCTTATTCAACAGCTGTACGACAGCAAAGCATGTCGTTTGATCCACAACAGTAAGACCTGGATTTCGCAGATGATTTGTGTTTGATGTCACACAAAATCGAAGACTTACAAGCGAAAACCGAGAAACTAGTCGAAGCAGCAGCAGAGACAGGACTCCAGGTGAACATAGACAGGACGTAGGTTACGAAAATAACCAACCACCACCACCAACAACAACAGCAACATCCAGCACCAATCACCATCAACGGGAGGGATTTGAAAGAGGTTACTTCATTCACATATCTAGGGAGCATTGTCTCAACTACAGGCGGAACGGACGAGGATGTCAAATCGAGAATCGGGAAGGCGATAAACACATTCATTTACTTGAAACCAATCTGGAAATCTTCGTCACTCAGCCTGCATCAACAACAAAATTCGGATTTTCAATAAAAACGTCAAGTCAGTCAGTTCTTCTGTATGGATCAGAAACTTGGCGAGTCACAAAGAATATTTCCAACAGCCTGTTGGAGACATTTATCAACAACTGTCTTCGTCCTATACTCAAGATCAGGTGGCCGGAAAGAATCACCAACAAGAAACTATGGGAACAATTAAAACAAGAACCAATCGCTCTGCAAATATGCAGGAGAATGTGGAGATGGATTGGACACTCGCTGAGGAGGCCGCTGGGTAACATCGCGCGTCAGGCCAATGCTCGAGTGGAACCCGAAAGGGAAGCGGCGAGTGGAAAGTCAAAGGGTGACATGGAGGAGGTCATTTCAAGAGGAGTTGAAACAATATGGAATAACATGGATGCAAGTGAAAAGTACAGCAGAAGATAGAAGCAAGTGGAGGCGTGCAGTTGAAGTCCTATGTTCCACTTGGAACCCAAGGGAACAAATAATTACTATTATTGTTTCCTTTCGTTCACAGAGGAATAACGGGCTTCCGGTCGGCTCTTTGCAAACGTTTTCATCTGCTTCCACGTCTGCTCGCATGCTTTAATCTTCTCTCTACATCACCTCCTCCATGTCACCACACCCTCACACTGATGGCCCACTGATTGCTGCGTATTCGGGTACCACTCGAGCGATGGCCTGGTGTGTGATGTCCCTTGATGGTTTGTTTTCTCAGAGTGTGGCCAATCCACCTCCATTTCCTCATGCAGATTTGTTGCACAGTTTGTTCTTGACGGGTTGGTTGGTTCGTTCATTGCTAGAGATCTCTGCTGCTGATATATTCTGACCTACCATCTGATCTTGAGTATTGTTGAACGAAGACACCAGGCTGTTGATGAAGGTCTGTAGTTTGTTCGAAGTGGCCTTCGTGATGCGCCAACCAAATCTCTGGTCCGTTTAGTAAGTAGCACTGACTTCAAATTGGCGTTGAAAATCTGGATCTTATTTTCATGTTCATGCTGAGTAGGCCTGTTGACCTCCACATAGATTTGAGAGTAATGAAAGCTTACCTGGCTTTCTTGATCCTCGCTTTGATGACATCCTTGTGAGTTCCATCCGCCCGTAGTTGAAACGATGCTTTCCATGTAGGTAGGTGGGTAGATAAAGAAGGCTACTCTTTTCAGGTTTCTCTCATTTATGCTGGTTGATTGTTGTCTGTTGTTGTTGTTGCTGTTGTCCAGGAATCTTCATCAGCTACCTCTGTCTTCTCTAAGTTCACTTGAACGAAGTCCTATCTTCTCTGGATGCTTCTTCTGCCAACTTGTTGCTTTTCGCTTCTAAATCTTCCAGTTTGTGTGAAATCAGACATATATCATCGGCGAAATGCAGACACTCCAAGTTTTTGTGTTGGTCCATTTTATGCCTGTTTCCTCACTTCCCGCCGCTGTCTGTCACATTATCCAGTCTGCCACCGTCGGTCAGGAAAATCATTGGAGATAGTAGGCAGCCAGCCAGTCATCTCGTCTTACTCCCATCTTCACTTCTTCGAGGGATTCCGTGAGTTTCCTGTTTTGGATTACTTGGCATGCAGCATTGTCGTACAACTGTTGGATGAGATGTATAACTGTTGGTTGCGTTTCATAGTCGTTGATAAAACCTCAATTAATAGGTTAAAGAAATTAGGTCATTGTCCTCAGAACTTAAAGTTCAGTTCCACTGATCTTTCGTGCAGTGATGATCATTCCGAAACGTGTATTGACCGTTACTGAAGAAAATCACGGATGCTTTTCTTGTTAGACGAAAATCATATACTCCAATTTCACTGAAGTTCATACTTTTTGGATGTGAGGTGAACTGTAGAAAATGGTGAAGTGTATTTAGATTAATGTTAATCAGGGGAAGCGAAAGCAATTATTGAATAGAAAATATGTATTGGGCACTTGTTTTCGTGTGTTTGCTGATGCTTAACAGGAGATTAAAATATGAGGATTTCGTTCATTTTAAGTCTGTTCCATCGGCCTTTCAGACTGGATTATGTATCAGGCTGTGCGATGGGAGCAAGGAGACAGGAATATGCTGGGCCACCGATAAGAAGACACTGGAATATCTGGGTTTCGTGCGTGGATGATATATGTCTTATGTCACACTAGCTCGAAGACTTACAGGCAGGCGAAAACCAACAAACAGGCTGAAGCGACAGCGGAAACAGGACTGCAGGTGAACACAGAGAAGACAGAGGTTATGAACATAACCAATCAGCGGCAACAACAAGCAGCACCAATCACCAACAACGAGAGAGATTTAACAGAGGTTGTCTCCTTCACTTATCCAGCCAAGATGCATCATTTCAACTGAGGGCGGGACGGATGAAGATGTCAAATATTTCCATAATTGGAAAGGCAAGATACGTCTTCGTCAATCTGAAACCAGTTTGGAAATCTTTCGTGCTCAACATAGGGAACAAAATTCGCATTTTCAACACTGATGTGAAGTCAGTCAGTCCTTCTATACGGGTCAGAAACTTGCGCTACGTGTCACGAAAAGGTTATGTAATAGCCTGTTGCAGACCTTCATCAAAAGCTGGCCAGTTCGATGGCTGGCTCCATATAGACGATCAAATTACCAGCCAGAAAGAATAAGCAAAAAGAAACTTTGGGAACAGACCAACAGACAAGTGCCAATAGCTCAACAAATATGTAGGTGAAAGTGAAGATGGACTGATCGAGCATACATCACTGACGAGGTCGTTGAATGACATCAAGCGCAATGTAGGCCATCCGAATGGCAAGCGACGAGTGGGCGGTCGGTGCGAGGGTGATGTTGACGAGATCGTGTGTTGGGGAGGAGGAGATGAGAGATTATGAGAAATTGTGGACCCAGCTGTGTAGAAGACAGCAGAGAATAGAGCAATGTGGTGATGTGTTATTGCAGACCTATGTTCCACTCGGAACGCAAGGAAATAATAACAATATAATATAACAGTTCAAATTAAGATCCTTGGACAGGGAAAAGAGTAGCGATAAACAGTCTCTTCACACAAAACATTCTGAAGATTGTCAGATCTGTGATTATTCGGTTGCTCTTAGTTCCTTTACTGTTAACATCTTCAGTATGAGAGCAATGAGAATCACAGAGGCATACGTTCGCTTTGACTAGTCGAAGTGCTGAATAGACTGCCCATTTCATCTTTATTTTGCACAGAATTGAGGACAAAAATGGTTCGAAGAGTGTAAAAGAACTTTTCGAGTTTATTGCGACGCGGAAGATGTTGAGGTCACTGAGTACCATTCACTTCTGAGTTTTTTTAAATATACATAAGCAAGCAGTAGAGAGAAGGGTGCAGATCTGCTCCATATAAATGCTTACACAGCTGATGTGTCATCTCCACTGCATTGCCTTGAATTTAAATAACGTTATCATCATATCTTTCAAAATGAACCAATCAAATTTAATTCAAAATTTATTTTTATGCTAATCAATTATCGAAATTTTCTCATTTAGCCGAAGCAGAAAAGTACTGTGTTCCAAGTATGGAATGATTCGGAAAGACAAGAGCGTGTCAAGAACATAACATCAGCTGGCTATCGAGTTATACTTTCATCATGTTTTCGTATCTTTGCCAATAATTATGTGGAGCATTGGTACCCATACTACGAATGTGATCCAAGAGACTTCTCAGGTATGATCTTATCAGCCATGTGAATCATGTTTCTATTTTGAGTATTCTCTGTGTGACTTCTCACTTCATCTTAGTATCACATTACGGCTGTTAATCAAGGTGGACTGCATTCAGCTTCCACGTTATATAAGCTATATCCCATTCTGCTTTAGTTAAAACGGAGTGGTAAAAACAAGAATATAGATCGACGCAAAGACTTCCACTCACTAGTGTCATTCATTGTCAAACTGAGGTGTCTTATTGATTTCAGAGAGGCATTACTTCCCTTTGTGCTCCATAGCTTCAGGATCGACGTGGTTGTTTGCTGTCAAGAATCGCTAGTCTGAGTGGCGTCCGACCTTATCTCTTTTGTTGCTTTAGGTCTGGCTAGCGAACAAACTGTGAACGATTAGGAAATTCAATAAAGCCCCAAACAACTGAAATAAGATACATGACAATTTGCGATCCTTGGTGCATTACACACTACACGTTACTCACCTAATAATAGGAAAGTTGATCAGTTGACTAGGTCATTCATTTGCTAATAGCTCATGTCATTTACTAATTCCTACCACAAGAAGGAGTAGCGAGGTGTCTTTCTGAAAATCATAACATGTGTTCAAACATATACCCAATTCACTTGATTTATACTCATGTGAAATAGGCTTGTTTCACACTGACCTTAAAAAATATAATCACAAACTAATCCTCCATATTTGCTTGACTGTTCAAGATTCAGAGCAAGAAAAGAAATTGGTTATTGGTGGTGAAGCTTTTGTCGTTGGTGATTTTGTGGATGATACGATTCTTTTCACGCGTTCATGGTGAGTTGTGTACTGTACACATTTCCAGATACAGGAAAATTCAGCATTCATGTATACGTTTTGTGATGAATGCATATATTTTCTCATTCAATTTAAATACTGCTAACTGAGCGAAATCAGTAGTTTGATACCCCTATTGACTACCCTAAGATTGACATTGTGACTATGGATGTTATGCAAGGTCATATGAAACTGGTGTATCGCTGTCACAGCGGCAGAGTGCTCGCCAACCACTCAGGTGGTTCCGGGGTTTGATCTCCGGACACTGACACACTCCCTTACCTCACTAAAGCGGTAGTAAGACTGGTAAACAGGGAAGGTTGGGCATGTAGCTAGCAAACCCAACCAGCAGAAATAATCAGCAATGCTACAGAAACTGCAAGCCTCTAGCTTGAAGCCTTATGCTCCACTGGGAACGTAAAGGAATAGAAAAATATATGAAACTCACTCATCAGAAGTTATCAGATTACTGCAAATCTCTTGAATTTGAGTGAATTCTAGTTTATTCCATCGACCTGAGAAACCATTGACAAGAATTGTCATGAAGTCATGCTCACATAACAAATGAAATCGATATCAAACAGCTTCAAATTTATACAAACACAGATAGTATATTTTGCATTCTTTATTATCCGTTTAGTATATGCGAGAGTTCATTGAAGTATAACATGACTGTAAGTTGTTGACCGATACGAATCTTTCATCTTCATGACTTCAATAAAATTAACACATAAATGCTAAGCAGCATCCGAGGCAGCAGGTGAAGTTGACCTTTTTACACTTTTCATCCACATTTGTCAGATACTCGATAATTACTAAGTCACATCAAAAAGGAATTATTAACAAAATTGGCTAACTCTTTTCCTTGAACTACACACAAACTTCCTATTTCATTTATTCATTCATTCTCAAATAGGCCTGAAGGTGCAGTTGTAGCTGAACGTCTTTGGTCACAAGGTGACTTCGACATTGACGAATTTATACCACGATTAACTGAACTGCGTTGCCGCATGTTAGAGTAAGTTCATATACTATTGAGATGATGAAGGCATTCTCAAATTTACATTTCCTTTATAATTTATGGTTATTGATTTTCAAAGGAAAATCAAACCCATCTGACTGCTTTGTGAATATCCGCAGAACAGATAAAGAAAGTAATCGAAATAGGAATAAATATCACAAGAGTTGAAATGCATCTTCATCACGCGACGATGAAGCGGGTATTGACGAAGTGGGATGAAAATAATTAATTAAGAAAGTCTTCAATGTATTTATCCATCCGCTCATCTACTCTGAGTAATATGTTTTAGAAATCGAAAGAGTCACCTGAAAGTGAGAAAGTTATGTTCAATGATTGCTGCTGAATCCCTATAATTGCCTTGAAATTGATGCTGATTATACTTCATATTTGCGTCGGTGGCACAGCGGTAGAGTCCTCGCCGACCAAACAGGTGGTCCGCGGGTTGGATCCCTGGCCACCGACGTACTCTCTGACCTCACTCAGCCAGTAATAAGACTAGAACAAAGGAAAGGTTGTGCATGAAGCGGCTAGTGACCTAATCCTGTAGAAATAATCACCACTGCTACAGAAATTTCAAGCCTCTAGGTTGGAAACGTTAAGCAATAAAACATTACTTCATATAGAAAGCAAATATAAAGGGATCGCACGTCCAGAGTATTCGACTCATACAACCTACTCCATTTTCTTATCCTCAAAAAATTAAAACATGATGAATATGGAGAATTCTATTACAGTTTATTAAACTGACACAAACACGATTCGTTCGCTGAATACACAGCTAGTAGTAGTGGTCAGTTTCGAGCAGAAGTGTTGAAACCTACTTTGTGAACAAGATGCAATCTATATATATGAAAGTAACCACAGTTAACTCATCAACAATCCGATATGCATCTTATCTCATCCATGTATGTGTGTACCTAAACACCTACTTCTATATTGATTTGGCTACAATCATACTTCATTGATCACATTTTGAGATTTCTTTGCTATCTGAGGCATAAATGTTGGGGACTTCTTCATGTTATTGATAGAAACTACTCATTTCATCGTCATTTGAGTAGATTTTATTCAGAGGTGTTTACATAAGGAATTGAATTGGTATTTAAAGTGAGTCTGTTCTCTTACCAGTAGAGTCAAATTGATTATTATTATTCTCTTGGTTTCCGAGTGAAACATAGAGCCTCAACAACACATCTCCACTTTGTTCTATTTCCTGCCGTCGTCTTCAGGTGAATCCACGATCACCGATAATTCATCATCACCTCCAAGTCTCACGATCTCCTCCATGCCATCCTCGCACTGATGACCCAGTCGGCACTTCTCATTGATATTCCACTCAAGGGCCTGCCGGGCGATGTCATTTGATGACCTCCTCAATGTATGCCCTATCCATCTTCATTTCCTCCTACATATTTGTTGAGCGATCGGCTCCTGGTTGCTTCGTTGCCAGAGGTTCTGATTGCAGATTTGTCCTTGCTGGCCATTTGACCTTCAGTATGATGCCAACCAGCGAAGTTTACAGCTGTTGATAAAAATCTGTAACTTACTGGAAAGGCTGGTCAAATTTCGGACACATAGAGAAGAAGTGACTGACTTAACAATTGTGTTGAAAATCGGAATCTTGTTCTTTGTCCTGAATCAGTGAAGAAGATTTCCAAACTAGTTTCAGACTGATAAAGGCGTATTTTACCATTTTGATCCTGACTGGCTGGTGATGACATCTTCACACGCTCTGTCTCCTGCAGTTGAATTGATGCTTTTTAGATATGTGAAGGCAGGAAGTAACTTCTGTTAAATATTTCCCATCGATGGTGATTGGTGCTGGTTGTTGTTGCTGCTGATGGTTGGTTGGTTATCTTCATCACCTCCGTCTTCTCTATATTCACCTAGAGTACTTTCTTCGCTGCTGCACTCTTCTGCCAGTTTGTTGGTTTTCGCCTGCAAGTCTTCGAGTTTGTGTGACATTGGACTTATATCATCTGCGAAATGCAGATCTTCTAGAGTCTTCTCATGGGTTGTCCAGTATATTCCTATCTCCTCGATCCCACTGTACAGTCTGACGCATACTCCAGTCCACCACAATAAGGATTATAATAGCGTGCGATAAAAGGCAGCCGACCAGCCTTGTCTTACTCCTGTATGCATTTCCAACGCCTCATTAAGTTTTACGTTGTGGATCACCTGACAGGTGGCACTGCCATATAGCCAGCTACTGAATGAGGTTGATATGGATTTGGGGCACTGCACACCACAGTTTTGCAGTTTTTTCCAAATTACCTCTTGGGTCACACTCTCTGTCGAAGGCCTTTTTTAAGTTGACGAAGGTGAGGTAGAGATTTGACTGCCATTCCATACTTTCTTCCGTGATGACGATACTTATAGTTTCAATTCGATCAGCATATGATTTGCCTTTCCTGAATCCAGCTCGTTCCGGTGGGTGCTGAATTTCTGTATCCAGTACACCCTTTATTATCTTCAGGATGACTCGACTGTGTAGTTTACTTGGCGTTGACAAGAGCATTACTCCACGACAGTTTTCACACGGTGAGGCGTAAGTCGCCCTCGTCTCGTAGTTTCACGAGCTAGCAAACATTTCTTCCAATCAGTAGGCACCTTTTCTTCCTTTGAAACCTGTTGCGATCATGGTGTGAGCACATCATCTGAGTATCTGAGTCCGTTTTCAGAGCTTCGGAGTGAGGGAATTCCGTCTAAATCTGTTGCCTTCCAGACTGAATTTCATTAGCTTGATCACAATCAAGATTTCTGCTTTCATTGGAGGATAAGTGTCCACTGAAAGGCAGTTATAAACGTGCTGTTGTTGGCATTTCTGAGCGAGTTGCAGATAATGGTCGATTCAAGAGTCTTTTGAAGTGATCAATACACTATTTTATTTATTCCTCCTTCTTCGTGACCAGGTTTCATTGAAGATCTTTGATTGATCTCATTATCTGGCTAGATCTGTTCACGCATAAAGACCTGATTGTTTGGTATAATTCCCTCAGGCTTCTTTTACCTACAGCCTGCCTTCCCTGCTTTAGTTGTTATCCAGTGTGTCTTAGAATTGTCTTTCGTCATTCTTAGCACTCTTCTTCACTTATTTATTCTGTTCAGTGTATATTGAACTCAGCTTCTCCTTCTGTTGTCCATATTTGCATTGGGTCATCTCTTTCACCATCCTCTCCAACTGTTTTCTAGTATCTCCCAGGCAGGTGTTCGTTGAGAGTCATTCCTCATCTTGATTCTTCTTTCCTCCTAGAACAATTGTATACGTTTCCTTGCACATCACCTTCAGAAAGTTAGTTTCAATGTTCTTCCACGTAGGTTTCCTCAGTCATAACACGTAGCATATCCGAGTTTCCTCAGGTATCTGTGTTGAAGTTATCTTTTGTAATTTTTCCTTCAGTTTCTGAATGCTGAACCTGAATTACACTGGTCTGTCACCACTTATTTTGAGGGTTTTCAGCTTTCTCCTGGAGGTTCCTTGAAGTAGCTAGATGATGGTGTGTGTTCACATTTGCTCCTCTTCTCGAATATGTGTAGAGCAAGCTAGTTGCGTCTCCCATTACTTGAGGAGTATTGGGATGAAGTTCATCTGGTTCGTGTTTTGTCAATCAGGCGAAATTCATGTTGCTTTCTGGATATCCTTGTAAATGAACACGCTGCTTCCGATCTCCAGATCATTGGAAGCGCAGGAATCTGCGAATAATTCTCCATTCTCATTCATTCTACCGAGCACCGGCCTATTGACCCATGATGAGTTCTTTTCCTGTATTATCTGCTCCCAGTTCGGCTTTCCTTCATGTCGCCCACAAGGATATTGATGTTCCCATTTGCGGACGTTTTGCATAACTGTTTGTAGTTGTCTGTTAATATCTTCCTTCCCCTCTCGTTACGTGTTTTTTGTAGCACTGTGCGAAGTGTTGTATAATTGTGACCTTTCTTTCTACCTACTGAGTTGAATCTTGGTGTCGTGATCCTGTGGGATGAAATTGGGTTCAAATGCATTAGGATTTTGGTTGCCACTGGTGACATCATGATAGCCACTCACTGACTCAGTATCCTCGTAATTGTCTTCTCGACAACTAGAATGGAGTAGATTACCAATTCTCCAGTTGATGATTTCGACAATCCGCCTCCATTTGCATCTGCTCGGGCAGATGCCCATCACTTCTATACCATAACTTCGCATTTCTTGGGCTACCTAGGCAGCCTTCCAGCCAGTCTCGTACATTGTACGGACACTCCACGTCTCCATTCTCATTGTTGCTTTCATCGAAAGAAAACACATCAGCTGACTAGCTCAACGAAGCCTGGCCTTCTCCAGACTGCTGTGTCATTTCGCCTCTCTGATTCGAGCGAAGAATAAGATTTTATTTGAATTTTTTTGTATTTTTCATATATTTTTTGTGCGTTGAAGTTTCTGTAGCAGTTCGAATGGTTTTGAGGTGAAGAGTTGCTAGGCTCACGCCCAACCCTCTTTACTCAAGACTCGGACTGCCCGAGAAAACTAGCACGCTTATTAATTAGGGGAGGTTAGATTCGAAGTAATAAATAATCCGAAGTAATTAGGACGTCGAATCATTTGCCGTATTGATTCAGAAATCGTTTTACCTCTTTTCTTTTGTTTTAATGTTCACAGTTTTGGATTGAATGCAAAACCACTGAACGAACCGAAAAGCTGTTTACAACTATGAAATTTGCATTTGAATTAACTGGATTTCGAACTGAATCAAATTCACCATTTCTTTATCAATCTGTGATGGATTGTAATATATAATTTCCAAATATATACCTTCTGTATATACAGCTTGCCTGACTGACTGGCTATCGGTACAGTATCAATTCGGTTCCACAACATTTTGCCACCGAACGATTGCACCCTGCGATGAATCATTTCAAATGAAACTTATGCCACTCCAGTGTTTCCAGTAATTACGAAAGCGTGAACTGCTGGGCATGCAAAATTTCTTGGGGAACACAGTGAATGTGGATCATTTGCAAACTACCAGTAGTGTTGTTAGCGTAGAATACTTTGTTACCATACAGGATATTTTTCATCCTGCTGACATGGTCATAACTGATCTGGTCTGCATATTTAGTAACTGTGATGCAATAGGAAGCTTTGAAACTTGGTAATTACTCTGACTAATAATTCAGCAGGTCTATGGGATGTTATATGGATAACATTTGAATAATAATAATAATAATAAGGATGACAAACACACAAGAAGGTGACAGAACCAAGAATATGGTATTCAAAACATCAATAATGCTTTTCGAGTTAGACCATGTATTGATGTCAGTGAGATAACCATTGAAAACGTGCAAAGAGTACTGGACAGTTGTTTCAACCTTGTTTGTGAGTCTTTGCCAGTACGCAGTCAATGAGTTCCGAATCCAGGACCTTCAGGTTACAAGGCAAGCTGGCTCGTATAGCATTCAGTCACTGGGATCCGACTCGCTATTGACTTTCTAGAGGACAGAGGTTTCTGGAATTCTAGTGAGAATTCGTACCAAGTGAGTGTCATGCAGTCAAAAGTGAGGATGAAGTTTCCGCCGATGACATTGGTTGGTGGTGGCGCTAGGCCATCGAGTCGGGTCCCAGTGGCTGAACGGTATACCAGCTTGCCTTGTTACCGGAAGGTCCTATGTTCAAACGCTGGTAGTGGAATTGAATTGGCAATGATTACCTAACTAGGATGAAAGAGCTGTCCAATACTGCCTGCACATTTTCAGTGGTACTCAAAATGTTATTATTTCATTAGTCCAACTTGAAGAACAAATCCAATCCATAAAAATCAACTCCTGCAAATCAATAACGCTGCCATACACAGTGGAAACGTATGAAACTTCATGTAGAGTGCTTAAGAAAGCAGGAATGAAAGTGGTGTTCCAATCCAAAAACTCATTTAGAAACACTTTATGACGACTAAAATCATCCTTTAGAGCACATTAAATAAAAAAAGTTATTTTATCTAATAGCTTGCTATTATTGTGAGTTAATGTTCAGTGATGATTGTGAGGTCAAGAGAGTTAAAGATACAGGAGGTGTTGAGGTAGTTTCTCCCCAATTAGATTCCGATATTTTGATTAAATGGTGTGTGCATTGGTTCGTAGGAATAAATGTATGCACTTGTACTTACTCATATCGTTCACAACAACAGCATACTCGCTGACTCAATGTCTTCACCTAATCAGTATTTACCATGAATAAGAAGGATATAGGAGAGATTATTAACCATAATACCCGGAGTGGGCAGCAAATTGAAGAACATCGGCTGTGAAGGATTTCAGAATATTATTTGTACATATCCCTTTCAAGATTTGATGTCAAAAATGGAGATAGGCAATCGTGTAGCCAATTGAAGATGACAGTCGTGTGAAATCAAGATGTTCTGTTTAATCCTGATGGTCAACTTTGAAACCATGGGGATAATTTATCCCGCTTAGACTTTTGCGTTTCCATGTCGATACGCGTTTCAACTAGTATTCATCTCAGTACACTATTTAACAATATTAGCGCAAGATTTTACTTCATCAGACTTTGTCCTGTTTTGCACAAATTGACGAACTATATTTTCACCATCCTCACTTGATAAACAAGTACGTGTGTTCTAATTACTATGTTTAGTATTCCTCTGTACAAATTGATTAAAATACTGGTCAAAGTTTCAAATCTGTTAACGAATGAAAATACTCTTATTGTTTCTAGTAATTATGACAAATGAGTACAAAGGTGACATGTGGTGCATAATGGTGATCAAAGATCGAAATTATGCTTCGAACAGAATCGAAGTATATTGGTTTTATATCAATCCAACCATAGCTGACCATAGTCTTTTGTGTGATCTGATTTAATGTGTGTGTGTGGCAATAGTCAACGAATACCATGGTGGATATCTGTCGTCTGTCATTCTATGTTACTGTAAGTGAAATTGAAACGTGCTCAAAATGCCATCCAGTGAATATCATTGTGTCATTATTCAACAGCGAATCAACACCCATATAGTAAAATGCGATCACTTACTAACCCACTCCGACTGTTCTACTTTGTTTTGAACTCACAGTAACAGGGGCTTGTTCAATGTGTTCGTCGCATCCTATCCGACTACGCATTAGATGTATATTGTTCACCGAAATTCGATGTGGCATACATAGTTATGTTCATCAATTGTATAGTGGTGAGTATCTTCGCCTGTCACATGGAAAGCCTTGGTTTGATTCCCGGCTGAGGAGCCGGCTTTGCCTCGGTGGCACAGCGATATAGTGGTTCGAGATGATCCCTGATCACAGACGAACTGCTTTGCCTCACTAAGCCAGTAAGAGAGACTGGTAAAAAGGGTAAGTTGTGCATGAGGCGGCTAGCAAACCCACCCTGTAAACACAATCACCACTGCTACAGAAACTCCACGGATCTAGCTTGAATCCCTGTGTTTCAGTGGGAACGTGAAGGAATAAAAAATACGTAGTTACATGATGCGCTCGAATCCCACTCTTAGTTTAGATGTGTCATGATGTTTCTAACCTTCAGACTAATAATGGGTGAATTTAGACAAACGGGTTAAGTATGTTTGTGAATCGTAAGCAGCGAAACTATGCGTGTTAAGAATAAATCGGTTAACTGTTCACACTACTGTCTGTCTGTCTGTTTCCGATATAGGACCTTGGATCGATGTGCAGCAGTTCAAGTCGCTACACTCCATGTAGCACACAAAGCAACAGAAGCCAGTAGAAGTAATGCCTAGCAGAGACAGTAGACAGGGATATGAGACAAAAGGAATAGGAATATCTAAGGACAGTATTGTTTTATTGGAAATTATAAGTCACAAGGAGTGGATGCAAGAAGTGGAAGCCAGCCATTGACAACGATTTTGAGCCATATCACAAATTGTCTCCAGCCGTCATTGTTTTTTACCATCTCGACGACCCTGACCAGTCAGATTGTCATCGATACTGAACTGAAATGCATCTGCATAAATTCAATTGAGATCCAGACACTTCACTTGCAAGGATCAATGTGTTTAGTCGTACTGCTCGAAAGTCGATGAAGAAACATTGAGGATAATTATTGGATTGCCAATCATAAAAGACTAGATGAAGGGTATAATTGGATGACTAATAATAATAATCATAATAATTTACTTTATTCCAAAAACAGTACTTGTGATACAGAATGGAATTTTCCGCATTAATCACAATATCTTGCATCTAATTTCCCCAAATTATAAATAAAATTAATCACAAAGAAAATTTTTCTACATTTACAATAGGGTTAATATAAAAATAAAAAAATAAAAAAACATGCAGCATTTAAAATGGAAATAATAACAATGATAGCAGCTAAGGTAATGATAATAATACAAGTGGAAATTGCCATGAGCTTATTTCACACAGTATTGTCGATGTGGTATACAAATCCTTGCATGATTAAAAATATTGAATATAATGTTCTCTTTACATGATATGGTGAGGGAAAAAACAAAGATTACAACAGTCATAGAGACAAGGTGGTGTTTGCAGTTATGAAAGTGAAAACAAAGAATCAACAGGACCATAAATATAATAGAAATAATAAAACTTCAAGGTATATAAGGATGGGTGGAGGAGATTGTTTATTTACTAGATGAAAAAAGGTTAGTCAATTCTTGCCTGACGCTATTTTCATCACATAAAATACGTGCCAAGTATGGTATCATAGAATTTTTATACTTAGACGTGCGAGCATACAGTTTTCTGAAGTTATCTCTTGTTCTACCTGAGGAGGTGCAAAGTGAAAGCTGAGGGTGAAGTGGATGCTCCAAGTCAGACAAAATCCCTTTAACAAATTTACTGCATGAATTCAAATGCCTATCGACAACGACGTTAACTATGTAGTCCACTGGGACACCACTCATCCTACTGACAGTCTTCAGCATTCCACGAATTGTGACAAAGTCCTTTTCAAGCAAATCAGGAAAGAATAAGGGGGAACATTAAAGAAGAATAGGTAGGATGCAAGAGTTTATGAACTGTAAGAGGAGGGGTTGAGTTATACCCAAGTGGCTTAACTTCCTAATGTAAAATGTCAGGCGGAATATTTTACTGGATATCGCTGAGACATGGGAAGACTAGGAGAGATCAGAAGAGAGAATAAGTCCAAGATACTTAATTTCTGATTTAATTCCTATATCATTGTCATCAATCTTACAACTGTCATGAGAATCGACGGCTTCTTTTAACTGTCGTTTGCATCTTAAGCTGAAATTAACAGTTTGACATTTAGGAGGATTCAGTTTAAGACCGTTAGACTCAGACCATTTACTGACTCCCGACAGAAAGCTATTGATTTTGGTACAATCTAGCTGGGAGTTAACAGCCATTGAAACAGTTAAATCATCAGCGTACTTCACAAACTTTATTTCATCAGACTGAGGCAAGTCATGAAGGAAGAAAAAAAAGAAAAGGAGAAAGGACAGCGCCCTGAGGGACACCAGCTTCAGAATACACGGTGTACTGCTTTCTTTCTGAGAAATAAGAATGTAACCAGTTAACAGCCCAACATTCTGTTTGACTTACAGCAAGTTTATTTAACAAGATGTCCCTAGGGACCGAGTCAAAAGTAGATGTATAGTCTAGGTAGGCACAACGAACAAATTTAGCCCCCTTGTCTAGATTGGAAGCAATGTTATGATATAAGATGGCGGCTGCATCTAAAGTGCCTCTACTGTGCTTCTAGGCAAACTGTTTTGGGTCATTAAAGGATTTAAGAGGGGGTACAAGACTAAGTAAAAGTAGTTT